TCCTCACTCCACCCCACCAGCAAGCAGGCTGGGGGGCACAAGAAGCTGCTGGGACAGCTGACCCCTACTGACCCCAGGGCTATCCCACACCATATGATGTCATGCTCAGCACATAAAGCTGGGGGAAGAAGGGGGAAGAGGGGAACATTCGTAATGATGGTGGTTGTCTTCCCAAGTAACCATTACATGTGATGGAGCCCTGCTTTCCTGGAGATGGCTGAACACCTGCCTGTCCATGGGAAGTAGGGAATGAATGCCTTGTTTGGCTTTGCTTGCATGCACAGCTTTTGCTTTACCTGTTAAACTGTCTTTATCTCAGTTTTACTCTTCTGATTCTCTCTCTCATCCCATGGGGGGCAGTGAGCAAGTGGCTGTGTGGTGCCTAGTTGCTGGCTGTGGTTAAACCATGACATACAGCCAAGGATATTAGTAGATTTTGTTGTCCGGTTTAAGGTCTGTTTTTAAAAGCAAGTTATTCTGTAATAAAATTGAAAATCTTTGATAGAGCTTTTAGAGAAAGGGTTCTGTCTTTCCTGTGTACTTAAACAATGCCTGATGTGGTTTAGCTTCAAGATATTACTATATTTTAGAATATATTACTGTAATATTGCATAAAATTATGCACCTGTATGTGGCAGGAGTTCCTGATGTTAAGGGCTTAAAATCATAGTCACATAGACAGATGAAGGAAGTAGGAACAAGAAGGAACAGTGTTGCCTAGAAATCAGTGACTTGCCCGTGATGACAAAGGGAATGCACTGCACAACTGGATATTGAATCCATACTTCATCCTTCCCTGGCTAGTATCTGATTTGCAAAGTCACTTTTCCTTATGCAAGAGTTCCTGCTGGCATTTTCAGAGAGCTCGTCATTCCAAACAGTGCTGCAGATCAGGGCTCTGCAGATGTTCTGGCAAAAAAAATTGTGTTCTGAAAAGGAAATTGAGGGAGTAGCCAAATGGCTTCATGAAGAATAACTGGAATATTTGGCAACCCAGGATACTCATGCGTCCCTAAATTGTTTGGTGCTTCTGCATTGTATAATGTACTGATTTTCTTTATCTGCTTCTGTGTTTTGTTCTGTCTAAATCATGAAATAGTAAATTCAGTGGGAAGGAAGTGGAGGAAAAACACTGCCTCGGCATCCATGTGTGTTCTGTGCATGCTGCTGGCTGGCTGAGAGACACATGACAACCTATGAAAAACTGATGAAAAAGATTTCCAAGCTACCTTTGATTTGTATTTCTTTTGTTGCAACTTAAACATACCAAATGTTTGGACAAAATTTTCTAGGCTTGGGGGTTTTTTGCACAACTACTAATATAACTGTTCTTTTCAAACAGCCACACAGCTTTGTCCCATGGCATCAGAGAACACCTAACTGTAATGCACCTTTGGGGATTTGACTGAGCACCAGGATGTGAAGGTGATTTCCTCTGATCAAAGTCCTTGTGTTTCTGTCCCAATCCTCTATAGCATTGCGGAGTCGATCAGGACGGTCCATCATCAATGGAAACTGGGCAATTGATCGACCTGGGAGATATGAAGGTGGTGGGACAATGTTCACTTACAAACGCCCAAATGAAATCTCCAGCACTGCAGGAGAGTCGTTTTTAGCTGATGGTCCAACAAATGAAGTCCTTGATGTCTATGTAAGTTTCTTGTATTTAGATTAATCTTCCTGATGGAAAAAAATTGTTCAGTTCATTGTTAGCATGCAACACTAAAATTGCATTCAGTACCAATACTTTGTTTCTGTTTTGTTCCTTTAATTTTGAAACATTATTCTTGATATTTTACTATTGCTTACTATTGCTCCTGTCTTCCTCCAGATCATAGGAAATCTAAATAATGATGAAGCCTTTTTCTCTCAGACTTTACCAATCCAGTAAAACCAATTTTACTTGTTCAGTAAAACAATGATAAAGCATTCAAATGTCTGGTTGTTTTTTGGGGGTTTGGGTTTTTTTAACTAGATTTTCTCCAGGTACTTTCCTACTCAAGCAAAATTGGTGTAGTTTAATTTTGCAGTGAACTGAAGGAAATACCTAAATCAGACAAGGCCTCTCACAGAGTGATACAATCTCAGTTTTCTTTAAGAGAAACATAAGTCCAAAAAACTACAGAATGTGGGAATTGCAGCAGAGCAGTTTTAATACAAAGCTATGCTAGGAGACCATAGATAATAGCCATTTGAGAAAGGAAGAGGGAAAACAAATTGTGGCTAAGAGGGGAGAATCATATTGAAAAACCTCTTTACTTCAGATGGGACTTTTACTGTATCATATTGAAATAAAAAATTTAACTGGAATTGATTACAACTTATTCAAAGATAAATGGTGTGTTCTGAGATTATACACTTTCACATGGAAATATCCATTCATTGAAAAAACTAGATTAACTGGCAAATCGTTTGTTTCATCCAGTAATGGCTTTTTTGCCTTAAGTGCAATATGGGGTGGAAAAGTGAGTGTGCTGGGTTGTTTCATAGAAAAACAAATAGTAACTACCCTGATTAGTCAGCTGGGAAAAGTTAGATGTTGGCAAAGTTACTCCCCATCTGCTATGTGGTTTCTTAATAAAGCAGTGTAATGATTATGCAAATACAACTTCTTTCCGGATAATTTCTGATGGATTGCAATGCAAAACTGGCAAAACCCTGTGAGATTAAATGGTTGGGCTCCTCGATTCTGCAATGCAGAGTCCATGTTTTTAAAATACACATGGTATACTGTAGTTATAGGATACTGTGATCTGAGGTTTGGTCTTAAGTTTTTATTATCAGCTGATTGATGTCTAATACATAATAACCCAGAGAGAAAAGGATCAGGAAAACGATTAAAACAATATTTCCAAAGTAATACCATAAAGACCCCATAAACTTAAATTTATCATATTTTAATGTTTTAGTTTAGGCTTAGTCTCTTCTTTTTTTTTGCTTTTGCAATGAATATAAAAAAGCTGGCATGATGGGCATAGCTTTATCAGTTTTGCTCTGTGGCTGCTACTATGGATTGCCACATATAATTTGACTGGACTCTTATCTGAGATCTTTCTTTTAGGTATGAGGAATACTATAATTCATTATAAGCTGATAGTTTAGTGTCTTTTTCAATTTACTGTGGGAAGAGAAAATTGGCTAGTGCTAGATGAAAGAAAATCAATCATCAGTATGACACAGCCTCTCTTACGGGTTTGAAATTTGTAGCCGCGCAGATACAGATGTCTTTTTTCAGACTTAGTCTTGCAGTTCCTGAATCACGTAATTCTCTTTTCATCCATACTCATGATCTTTATGCTCTGTGTAGAAAAATGAAGAGATTTGCAGATGGGCACTCCAAATGGCTTTCTGTTCCTTTTTCCTGAGATCATGCTGTCTTTCTTCCACTCTAAAAATGTAGAGGAAGAAGCTCTCTATGTTACAGCAGGTTATAATTGGCAAGATAAAAAGAGATGCAAGTTTTGTCCAAGAGTGAAGAATGCATTGCTACACAGACTTAGGCCCACTAACTCAAAGGAAAATTATTGTATAATTTCAGGTATTTTCCTGCAAGAAAGCTGTGACAACATATTCATTGGGGCTTCATTAGTTAAGCTCTTTATAACATATGCCTGTCAGTTGTTTTGAGAAATGTGATGGAAAAACCATGGGAACCATTGGGAAGCTGTTCCTTAAGAAACCATCTTAAGAACAGGGTCCTGGTTCTGGAAAGTGGGGGGTACTCTTCTGCTGAAGTCAGCTTCACAGTGCTCAGTTCTCTCAGGACCAAACACAAAGAGGGTGTATTTTTTGGATAACAAAGTGATATGGGAAGGACCAACCCTTACAAAAAATATTACAGGCAATGCATTATTAGATGGTTCCGAAAAAGTGAATGGTCTCTGAGGGACAGAATTTAGAGGAACAGCTATTATATTTGGCAAGGAAAAAGTGATTTTGATACAAGGAAAAACAAAGGTCTGAATCCCTAGTTGGTGTTAATAGCTGTGATGAATTTAGTGAAACCTTGAAGCATAAGTGTGCTCTGCTGGGTCATAAAGCCATTGGCATAGCATGACTTTTTTTGGCCCGTGGTTTGTCAGAACCGGAGAGCTAGTGCAAACTCTAGTCTTTGTTTCATTTTGGTTTGTTTTTTTTAAAAAAGGTACTTCTAAGTTAAAGTGTTATCTGAGGCTTCTACCAGACCAAATCCCCACAAAGAGTTCAGGACTTTTAAAGCAGCAGTGTCAGTAGAAGCAACACTGAAGTAATCAAAGCTTAACTAGTGAAATTAGCAGCTGATGGCATCCCTGCATTTCCAGTGTGAGTATGCTCAGGCTCTCAGCAGCAGCAACGTAATACAAGCCAGCTGGGTATGGAGTGTGCTGCTAACAGTTTTAAAAAGCTTTCATAAAGTCATATCTTGCTCAGGTCTTATTATGCCTAACTGTTCAAACAAGCACATGAAAAGTGACACTAACTTTCAGAGGTGTGCTCAGGTCAGCTCACATGGACTTGTGCAGCAGCGTTCTGAAGCCGCTTGGCTTCATTTTCACATTTAAAGGGGAAAACCTTATGGTTTCTGCCTGTGTTTCATAAAGAACACTTTGATAGAGTTGTTGTGGCTGGCTGTAAAGCAGTGGGAGTCTGTCTGCACTTACATTACATCTTCATTCAGTTGAAAATTAACGGGGAAGGATGCAAGAGGGCTGCATGGGCACTCTTCAGCTGCTGTAACAAGTATGTGGGCCTTTGTAATCTGTTCACTTGATCTTTTTTGAGCAATGCTTATGGTGAGAGCGGCATAATGTTAGTAATTTTAGCTAGTTGATTGCTGAGTCTCCATTGAGTGGTGCAGAGGTAGCTGCACAGTGATGAAAGGAACAGTTTGATTTGTGAGATGGTATATGTGGAATAACACGTATGTGCTGTCTGCGTGTACTCTGTTCAAGTACAACTGATTAACCTTAAAAAAGGCAGTTGGCTAGATTTATAGGTTGAGGTCTGTGATATTTATTTTTTTCTGCTTTGTTTCTTCCTTGCTTATGTTTCCTCAGGCATCTGTCAAGCTCCTTCTATCTGAGAATGTTTTGGTGACCGTAGGACCATCTCTTCTGCTGCTGAGGCCTGGTGTGAGCCTCTGCTGCCCACGCTGGCAAGAGGCGAGGTTGTGGCTGGTGCAACCCACAGCTGCACCTTGGCCCCGAGCATGTCAGTGTTACATTTTTCAAAGAAGATTTAGAGAAACAGTTTCTCTGCCATCACAGGCTAGCTCAGTTAGCAAACATAGTAGCCTGTATTTTCTTATTTTTCCAGAAACAAATATATTTTTTTGCATTTTTTGGAGACAGTCATTAAGCATTGTTTCTATCCTGACCAATGACACGTAATGCTATGTAGCTGATCAGTTTGAGTACATATTTCAGTATTAGTAATATAATAAGTGGAAGAACTGAATATATGGCTGTTTTTCTTTTTAGATGATACATCAGCAGCCTAACCCAGGCATACATTATGAGTATATCATTCCAGGAGACAATGTCATTAGTCCTCAGTTGCTTGCTCACAGGAGGCCAGGTAAAATACCACTATTTCCTATTATTAAACACATTTTGTTACCCAATAAGCTAATGGAGAAACTTGTACCATTAATTCAGTGTTAAATGCTGCCATTGATGTGGGAAAGGCCCAGAACTTCACCCTACATGTTGAAAGAGAAGTCTGCATAGATTTGGTAACTTCAGTGAATTTATAATGACAGAGATTATTTATACTGTAGCAGGGTATCTGGTCCTATATTTCTACTTGCAGTAACAATTTTGTTGTTAAAATGTTAACCATGGCTTTGCATGAGCTGGAGTGTTGTAACCATGTCTCAGAAATGAAGTAGAACATGATTTTTCTCTTCAGAGTTTGAGATAATTTAAAACAACCCTTCACAGTTTCTCTTTCCTCTCCCAACTGGAGAGGATCAAACACAAAACTGTTGCCTTCCCAGGCTAGAATCTGGACAGCTCGTGCTCCTGACTGAACTGTGGATATGTGCTGTGTGTACTGGTACAAAGTGCTGAAGGATAGTAGAAAATCTGTGAGCAAATTTGGTCCTACTTTTAATGTTCATGACTTGCCTTGACAAAAGTGTGTTTGCAATCTGTTTGTAATGAGGGGAAGCTGTGCTGTGACATGGGGAGACCCAGAATACAGAGCATGGTACAAAAAAAAAAAAAAAAAAGCTTTGGGCGATTTTGACACTGATTCTTCAGTTTTTAAAGTATTTGCTGGCTGAGACTTGCTTATCTTAGTTTAAAACAACACAGTCTTTGCAGGACACTATTAGGAGGTCTCTGCATAGCAGAGTAAAGCTACTTTCATGTTTTATGTTGCTCCAGTTGTGATTATTAGTGGATGAAAACACAGACTGATATTTGCAAGTGAGGCTCATTATTTTACTTTTTTGTTATTGTCCATCATCAGGGGAGCCCTTGAACGGTCAGTTAGGAATGCCAGAAAGTACAAATCGTGAGGATGAGGATTTGCGTAGGGAGACAGATACTCTCACTGGACAATCAGCTGGAACTTTTCCAGTTATTCATCCAGGAAGATTTCCTTCTCATCAGCCAGAAAACCAGGTGCCTGCTGTGCAACCATCAAGACAAAATCGAGAACACAACTGGAAACAGATTGGAAAAACTGAGTGCACTACGACATGTGGGAAAGGTAAGAGTTTCATACATCGTGCACAGAAAGCAGATGACACACAGGAGGGTTCCAGCATGGGAGAGGGGAAGCATGGATGGAAGAAGTAGTGTGACTATTCAGCAGCTCTTGTATGCACAAAGTGTTGCTGGACCCGGTGTTTTCTGTTTTCTTACAAGCAAAAGACACAGCAGTACTATTATGTGTGCTTGTATTTAAATCAGTAGAAACAATAAAATTAAAAATATGAAATACAAAGCATTTAAATTAAAAGGGAGGCATTTGCCTCTGAAAGGAAATATTTCAGGACTTTATGGCAAGCTGCTCTCTCTCAGCACCCTTGATACACAGCTGCTTTCCTCAACATTCTTTGGCATACTTTATCCTTCAATTTGGCCTCTCCAGCTTTGTCAGATACACCCTCAGTGCTTTTTGTGTCTTGTCAACAGTTTTCTCATCTTTAAGGGAAGGTTTCACAGAGATTCCATTAGCCATATCTTTGCCTCATTGGATGTTGCTGGAACAGTAATAATGTGGCTTCAGAAAACTGACATTTTCATAGGGGAGAAGTGGGAAGGAAGAGGGATGGAAAGGGTCTGGTAATTAGTGAGCTTTTGGGATGTGATGGATACAGTACCTTGAGCTTGCCAGATTAACCTTTGCCATAAGACATTCACAGTGACCATGGATTCAATAATGCATTTCACAAGCGATTATTTGGAAGAATAAGTTTTTGTGCTCGTAAAAGTGAAATCTTCTGTTCCTTATATAGCCACCCATCACCATACCTAAAAAATTGCAGAGCTTTCAGATAAAGGTGTACCAGTGAGGGAACTCAGCTGACTGTCACCAGTTCGTATACATTGAGAACATTTGTTTCCTAATTAGTTTGAGAGGACACTTTGCAAATTTGGTCCAAGGCCAGATGAGTGTCCATGTTATAGCTACAGATAGAGCTCAAAAATACTAGCAATACTGATACCAGTCAAAATTGCTTCTCAGTACATTGAGAAAACTTTTTTCCTTGGAGAAATTACTGCAAAAGTTTTAGTGTTACAGGTACAGCCTATAAAATTCGGAACACTTTTGAAGTCAGCCTTTTTGTGGAGAAAAGGAGGGAATGTAAAGTAGAATTATTTTGGTTGGTATTTAAATACCTTTATTTAATAAATACCTGTGTCTTTAATACAAGTCATATGGGCAGAATCCTTAATTGCACCTGATTATTGTTTAGCAGCAATCAGTGAGTATCACCTGCACAGTGTCTGGATTATCATATATGTGGTGAATTTTAGTATCCAAATCAGGTCATTTATGATGCAGTTGCAGGAACACATCAGGGTAAACGTATTCTACCTTTACATCATTGAAGTCTTGGTTGTATTTCCTATGGACCTTATGGACATTTGAACATAGTTCTTGCGATTTCTTCAGAGATCTGGTTGCTCTTGGCAGTGGTATTAAAGAAATCTGAGTAAAATTATGATAGCAAAATTGTAGGAAAATAGAATTCAAAGGATATCTTTCAGCCTCCTCTACAGCTTAAATTTACTCCATGAAATTTAGCAAGAGAATTGTCAAAAATGAGTAGCTCTTTTCCTATTACTTGGAGAATGTGTTCTGATCAAGTTAAATTCAAGAGAAACTGGACCCTGACAGCAGGATCCTGACACTGTTAAGACTGCATGAACACTCTGTATGATCTTGGTGTGAGAAGCCTGTGTGAATCTCTGATGCCCCTAAGGCATTTCAGGTCAAACTAAGTTATATAGGCTGATAAAAAATAGAGGGAAAAAAACCCAGAAAGAAATCTTGTACTGTTTAAGGCTTTGTTTTCATTTTGTATGGTCCAGTGTAGGACACTCTGTTCTTTTTTTCTTTTTTCTATGTTTTCCTTTTTTCTGCTACTTTATTTTTTCATGCAGAAATGCAGATGATACATAGTCTTTTTTTTTTTTTTAAATGAACCTGTCAAAGCTAAATAATATTAGGAAATTTTATGTTTCCAGAAGAAAGAAAGAAAAATTATTTTTGTGCTACCTAAGGAAAAAGGAAGGTTAAATTAACAGTGTTGATGAAAAGCTGTGAGATTTCAAAGTACTTTTCAGTAAAACTTTGGCTTGGGAAAAAAAAAAAAGACTATTATAATTTTTTTAAAAAGTGAAAATGCTTCCCATGAGAACTGCCACCACCTCTTGTCCCAGATTCCCATTTAAGATGACTGAGCAAATAGATCTGCTAGAATTTAGACAGTGTGGAAACCACTACCGCATCCTGTCAGGGAAGTGAAGTACCACATCATCCCTCTCTGTTGTCCAGAGAGAAAAGGGTTGGTGCACTGCAAATTCCTGGAGTCCTGCAGCCACAGGAACTTCATCCAAATTTTGTCTGAAAGATCTTACAGGAAGGAGCACTTCCCTTCATCTTCTCTGAGCACAGCCTGTGCCTTAAAACTGTTATCTACACCTTGGAAATTACTTGGGATGTGTAAGTTGTTATCAGTCATGGAAGCATGTTTGTTACTTTTTAAAAGAAGAATTAGAAAGGAGGTTAAGAGTAGAAACTGCTGATTTTTTTTCCTCAGACTTCAGAAAATATGTTTTTCTGAAGTATTAGTGTAAGCTAGCTAGTAAGTGAGAAACAAAGCCTTACTTTTGGTAGAACTACATTCTTGAACAAATATAACTTCAGTGGGAACTGTAATTTTCTATCCTGAAATCGAAGTGTGCCAGCCAACAAGTTACCAGCAACTATGGCCACCCTTATTTTATTTAGTCATAATTTAGAATTACTACACATCTCTGGTGCAATATTTTTTTGAATACATGGCTGAATGTATTGATCTCCTTTCTTTCTATTTCTTGATCACAAGTATGTTACCTGTTCGTTGCATGACATAGGAAATTGATTTCAGTAAACTGATTTTCAGGATGTTTGAATTGTTAATTCCAAAATATGATAATACAATTTTAAAAATTATTTAGCAGTTACCATTAAATCTGCAAAGGTTTTGAGCTCCAGGAGGTAAAAAATGTGAAGCTAATTAACCACAGATCTTTTACAACGACTGCAGGTTCAAGTGGATAATTAGAAATGGAAAGCTGGAGAAAACTGATCCAGTGGTCTAAGACTTGTAGCATCAATAATCTTATGAATCAGTGTCACTGACAGTGCAGGCTTTAGTAAACCCACATTTGAGGTACAAATGCTTACAACCTAGCCCTTTTCTACACTGTTTTTAGACACAAATACCAACAAAGATGCAGCTGAGTTTTCTGTGCAAATTGCCTAGGTGTTCTAGGCAAGATGGGATGACATAGAGGCATGGCAGTTTGGTTTTTGTAAATGTGCAGACATACATTTTGATCTCAGGAAAAGAGAAGTCCATTTTACAGAAAGATGAAGCTATTGTATTGAGAACTTGCGCCCTGCTTCCTCCCATCTTGCCAGTAACATGGAAAAAACGGCACTTGTCTGTAATCTTTCTGAAGCTTGGTCTAGAGACACTGTTGTATAGGGTGCATTCCTGATTTAGTGGTAGATTTTCTAGGTAAATGTAGGTGTTTCAGACAAGCCATGTGAATGTGAGCAATATGAGCTCTGTTGAAAAAGTGCTTGCTTAAACCACCTGAATTTTGGGGTTTGTGTTCTCTATTTCTGCTTGCAAACACTGAGAATTAGGCATTTATGACTCTTCCTTCAGGCTGTACACGTATTTCCCTAAATTCTGAAGTATATTGTTAATATCAAGGTCAATCAGTAGAGTTATACTTGAAAAATACAGCCTTATTTAGGATGACCGTACATCATCCATGCATTTCAAAGGCAAAATGACAAACGAAATCTGAGAAGGCAAGCATTCCAGGAAAAGTTTGTGGGAAAAAGTGTCAACTGTGTATCTGCTTGTCTGGTTAAATAGCATTCCAACTTGTGTTTATTTCATTCTGTGGAGGAAAGTTAGGTCTAACCTAAGCAAAATGTTTCTTTTTCATTTCAGAGTTAATTCTCCTGTTCATGGTGTCTTTCTCTCTAATTCTGAATCACTGCACTAATAAGGCTTCAATACCAATAAATAATTAGTCATTTAGAGTTACTTGTAGGATAGCCTAAAACAACTAAAATCACCCAATTTTTAAGTCAGTGCTCCTAGCTACAAGTGGTTGAACTGGCAGTTGTGGGTTGTACCTTGACCACTTCTCTTTGGCTGAGCCCTGTTCTGTAGCCAAATGGCTCCTATTACTACGGAGGCACCCTGTGCCATTGCTGTACCGCAGTGAGAGGAGGGGTTGCTACCCCTTTACATGGTATGAACATGGCAGAGAGAGAATCAGCAGACTTTTGTACTACTTTCTAAAAAGAACTAAAAAGACAATTCTTCTAGTCTTCCTTTTGCTGATTGTGTGCTTTTAGGAGTTTCCTTTCACATCCTTTGCGAGATTCAACTCCAGGTAGGCCTTGCCTTTCCTAACCCCATCCCTGCAGATAGCATCTCTGTACCCCTCCGGGATCACCTGACCCTGCTTACACCTCTTGTACTTCCTTTTTATGTCTAAGTTTAGTTAGGAGCTCCTTGCTTATCCATGCAGGCCTCCTGCCACCTTTGCTTGATTTCCTACCTGTCAAGATGGACCTTTCTTGAGCTTGGAGGAGGTGATCGTTGAATATCAACCAACTCTCCTGGACCCCTCTTCTCTGATGGGCTTTATCCCATGGGATTCTTCCCAGAAGATCTCTGAAGAGGTTTGGGTCTGCTCTTCTGAAATTCAGGGTTGTGGTCCTGCTTTTTGCCCTGTTCCCTCCTCTTAGAATCTTGAGCTCTACCATTTCATGATCACTGCAGCCAAAGCTGCCCCTGATTTTCACATCCCTGACCTCTTCTTCCTTGTTTTTATGTATCAGGTCTAGCAGAGCACCTTTCCTGGTTGGCTACTCAATCACCTGCATCAAGAAACTTGTTAATGTATTCCAACTTTTAACTTACCAAATACAAGTAGGCATGTTAGCACCTTGCTCTTTGTCATCATTTTGGTAGTCAATTTGCAGTAGTAATAGAAGTAGAGTTCTGTCTTTTCTGCTTTAGCATAAAAATTATTTAAAGACAAAGCATTAAATATGGATAGTCATAATTTTTAGTGAGTCTGTAGTGTACAGTAATATTTAACCTGTAAACTTTATCTTAGGAATCTTTTCAAAAATCAGGTAAAGTGGATAATATTCTCATGTGTTTACTCACCATGTAATTCTAAAGTAAGGAGGCTCAGTCTCTCTCCCAAATCACAACAGAATGACTGCTAAATTTTTCCTCCTCTCAAGCATGTGTTGTGGCTGTGTAGCTATGTTTTTTTTTAAAATTGCCTCAATACTTAATGTTTGTACTCTCTGCACTATAAAGATCTTATGCAGACCAAGGAGCATATTTTCTCACCCCTTCCTACAATGACATGCTGTACTTTCTATATACTAAGGACTTCCCTTAATACTACAGTGTAAACAGTATAGCATTCAGCTCTCACACTTGGAAATTTTGGATAAAAATCTTAGTCTATATTTTCTGTTGTTAAGTTACACCTTTCCTTTCTGCGTCAGTGTTAGATGCTACTATTATGACTTATACTGTAGAGTTCTTTGCAATGCATCACCTAATTTTTCTTCTTCATTTCAGGGTCACAGTACCCAGTTTTCCACTGTGTCAACAGAATCACTCACGAGGAGGTATCTGAGAGTTACTGTGACAGCAGCACCAAGCCCGTTCCAGAAGAGGAGGCCTGCAACCTCTTCCCATGTCCAGCTTTGTAAGATATTACAGTTTAAGTCAAGTGAAATAAGCCAATGGCACTGAGGTTTTCCATGTGAAAGAGGCTATTTGAAGAGGAAACTAGTTTGAACTTCTAAATACAATGCACTTGTGTCATACAGTGTAGTGGCTATTTTTTCCTTCATTGTTGGTGGCCTTCTTCCCCTTCACAAGGGACCAATAGCATTCAGAGAAGACAAAAGGGAACTTGGCAACAAGCAAGTGTTGTAATTTCTCAAAATTTGTGTGATTGTTCAGGCATCACTATACTTGGTCTCTCTATGGGTACATTTTTTCAAGCAACAGGTTTCTGCACATACCTGCCTAAAGATGAGGTTCTGTAGGTTGTATCACTCCACAATGGATCAGTGTGCTGTAGTACCCACCTGTTCATTCCATGGTGGTATATTTAAAGATGAGATTAGGCTGATAGCGCTCACAACAGCCCCCTCATAAACATCACCTCTCTTTCCTGGAATTCAGTAGCTCTTCAACTCAAAAACTGGATTCTGAAGCGGTAGTCCTTGTTTCCAGCACACTAACACAACCAGCTCATGTGTGATTTGCTTCTGAAGACACTTGCCATCAGGAGACTGACTTACACTTGGCTAAGCAACTTCTTTTAAATAGTGGTGTGGGGGGGAAAAAGGTCAATTCAACCAGGGTATATACCAAGAAGAAAAAAGGGTTAAACCTACTTGCCATTCTAGCAACTTTATTTCAGTTCAGCAGCTGTATTTTCCATGTCTCTTGTGGTTACATTCTTCAATTCTCTTCTGAGCAGCAACTGGCCACTCCTTTATCCCACAGAAGTTTCTAATGGTGTAAGTGCTGTTGAGTGTTAGAGATGCCTGATAAGCAATTTCCTAGTGCCTATTAGATCCTCAGGAACTTCTGAAGCCATTTACTTGGAGATGTCTTCTCTCACCAAGCATTTTTCTCACCTTTTTCTTTTTAATAACTCATATTAATTCAGCTTCATTTGTTTACACAAGATAATATCAAGAATATAAACAAAGATATGTAAATATTTATTAAAAGAATACAAGGATTTCATGTGATCTCCACAAGAATTCTGAAATAAAATGTGTGAACAGTTCAGATACTTCCCTTATTTGTGTATGTCTTCATACTTGAAAAGAAAACTCAAAGGGGAAAATGACATGTTAATACAAAAGTGATTAAATAAATACAGTGAAATCTTGGAATGAGAACAATATATCTAGGGATTTTTTTCATCTCTAAAATTAAATGTATTTATTCATTGCTTATAATTTGCTATTTCTGTTTTACTAATGAATGAATGCCTGGATGCATTAAGTGATTTTTGTGGTATTGTCCTTTTTCAGAGACTTTGCTGCAGAAAAATTTTATGCAACACAAATTTTTGGGAAATGTCATTAGAGCAATAATATATATTGTAGATAGATTCTTTAAAAAAACAAACAGTCATTAGTGGCTTAATGAAAGCTTGTTATATGTCTTGAAACCGTGGATTGTACAATTTGTATGCATGCTTATTATTATCAGCAGAAGCTTAAGTGTTATTTTACAAGATTCTGTACCAGCATCAAAATCATGTCATTTGAGTTCTGTTAAGATTAGTGTTTGAGAAATCTTTACTGAAAAAAATGTCCACTTTTTTTTTTTTTCCCTTTAGCTGGGATATAGGGGAGTGGTCTGAGTGCAGTAAAACGTGTGGCCTTGGTATGCAGCATCGACAGATCTTGTGCCGGCAAATGTATGCCAATCGTACCTTGACAGTTCAGCAATACCGCTGTCATCACCTGGAGAAACCAGAGACAACCAGCACTTGCCAGCTGAAGATCTGCAGTGAATGGCAGATTAGGACAGAGTGGACTTCAGTAAGTATGACCGATTAACGTGGGGCATAAAACCTCAGGAAATAATAAGAATTTTCTTTCAGGTATCACTAATCAAATATGATATTTGTTTTTGTTTAAAACAGGGAAGTGGAATCTGAAAAGCCTTGTAAAAATGTGAATCTTGTTGCAGAAAACCCTGCTCAATTATGACCATTAAAGTTTATTGTTTGTAGCCAGAAAGAAGCTGAAAAAGAGTGATTGAATAGTACGAAACGCACAAATGTGTGTGTACAGAAGTACGCAAGTTCTCTGAGCAATGTTTTTTTTTTTAAATACTATATGAAGTAGTGTTGGGAGAGTCCTGATAGGTTTGGCTGAAGTGGCAAACTTACTGCTCTTTTTCATAGCATGTAGAGCTTAGTTCCATGAGTTATTACACCTTATGCATGTATTGAGGGTAGAGTCAGTACTTGCTGTTACTGTAGTTGGTTTGACGCTGTGCCAAGACTTTCAGATAAATGTGGACGGTACAATTTTGAGCTTTAATTTCTGTGTTGCTTGCAAAAGGTTTGGCCAACCTGACAACCATCCTAGGTACTTTCATAGCCATTGTGTTAAAGAGAAAATATCCTGGTGTTTTAGGTGTAGTGATAAACAAATCTTTTCCAGTTAGCCATGAAACAAAGCAAAAAAAATTTGGACTTGCTGAATTATGTGGGTGGATAGACTGAAGAATTCCAGCTTAAACACTGAACTTAAACCTTGTTTTTCCTTTCTACTGAAGTGCTTCCTTGCTCCTAATTCCCCCAGCTGGGGCTGTAATGCATGTTGCAGAGCGGAGTGTGTTGTCCATGGGCTAGCTGCACTGGCAGGAGCAGCACAGCTTTCCATCCACACGGTCACAGCAGGCTAAGAGTCGTGCAGCAGACTTCGTGTGCCTTTACAGTGGGTCTTCCCCTGTAGTAAAGGCTGTGCAAGTTAACTCCCTCAGTTGCTGCATTTCTGAGGCTGGTGGTGGCACAGTTAGCTTCCTAGTTGTGAAGAATCTGTGATATGTTGATCTATTTCTGATGAAAAAATTAGAAATGCCTAGACAGATGAATGTAAAGATATGTTGGTTTGTTAATTCATTATTCATGATGAATTAAAATCCATCTGGAGTTAAAGGACAGCAAAATTGATATTAAAGTTTTGACTATTGTGTTGATGATGAGAAGGGAGAGCTGGTTTTGTGTGTTGTTGCATTTTGAGAAGTATTTCAGTGTACAAAGCCTTTAGATGTTTACTGCATATGGTGAATCAAGCTAAACACATGCTTTAGAAACTATAGCTGGTTGAATATAAGTGTAATTCCAATAAAAGTCTGTGCTTAATATCCTCTTGGAAGTAAAATTAAAGTTCTTGGCACATCAAAGATCCATCAATAAAGAAAGGAGCAATTGAGTTTGCAAACTGGTTTCAGTAGAACATTTATTTGTGTTTGTGCTTGCTGAAGTATGGCCAGGTTTTCACTTTGGAGACAGGTCTGTGATCTTAAAAGTAAGCTCATCATAAGATTGTAAAGTGCTTACCATTTTTTCTGACATACAAATGTCAAAAACTTTGATCTAAATCTGATTAGAAAAAGTGTCATTGTGGTAATTTCAAGTTTGGAGTCAGCAGACTAGACTCCAAAATTAACTCTGGACAAATCACCCCATTTAGGACATAAGGAATGGGGTATTTCTTTTTATTAGTATTTTGCTGTTTAATGACCTCACACATCTAGCCTGGGTTTGGGGCAGTGTTCTAGAGTGAACAGTTGAAGAAACAGCTGCAGTCTGAAGATGAAGTCTGTAAGGTATCTTGCTGTAGGGAATATATTCTACATTATAAATAACTCTGACATGTAAATATAGTAGACATGATTAAGCATTTGAAAGCAAGAAAAAAACAATGAGGCTGCCTTTGGAAGCTGTTTTAGGTACCCTTGTATGCAGGTAGTTTTTAATCTTCAAATTCTCAGAGATTTTCCCCTTTAATTCTAGAGTGTTTACAGGATTCATCAAAACATTTCATGCATACAAAGCAGAAAATTATGTTCCCATCTGGCTTCATCATCTGAATGCTTCACATCATCAAGCAGAGATATCAATAGCTGTCAGTGCTCTCTAAGGTTGAAGAAAAGAGAGCAGGAGAAGGCAGCCTTTACTTGTAAGAAGGATTCAGGAGTTGTGTTTCTTTGCATTTCTCTTGCTCCGTATCTGCTCATAGGTCAAGATCAGAATTATGCAGAATATGCCAGCCTACTATTCAAATGCCAGCAGTTCTTTTTGATAAGGTGCAGCGTGGCCCATTGAAGATAGGGTTTAATTTTATGTTTTCCAGGTATGGCTGCATAGTATATTGTAGAATACTACAGACTATGATTTAAAACTACTGATGCATTTTTATTGCCTATTCCTAGCATTCTAGAGTATTTCTATATTCTTGCATAAAGTCCTGATGCAACCTCCCTTTTGTTACAGTGTTCAGTGCCTTGTGGAGTGGGGCAGAGGACCCGAGATGTGAAATGTGTCAGCAACCTTGGAGACATTGTTGATGATGAGGAATGTAACATGAAGCTGCGGCCAAATGATATCGAGAACTGCGACATGGGTCCCTGTGCTAAGAGCTGGTTCCTTACAGAGTGGAGTGACAGGGTAAGGCTTCTTGTTATCTTTGTTCTGCCCAATCTTCTAAAGCAACTTACGTGCATCAGAATTAAAAACTATGTATCTGTACAGCCGTAAAAGGAGTGATCTTATTTTCCATGTTTATCCTTGATCTGTTAAACAAGCAAGACCAAACAAAAAAAAATAATGATCCCAAGGCTGTCTTGAGCTTGTGTTAGGTACAAGAATGCATAGAAAGGGCAAGTGTGTGGGTACATGGCCAAACATCTGGATTTAGAATTGGCTCTGTGTCTGAACTTCCCAAATTACTGAGTGTGCTGAGATTTATTATTCTGCTTTGCTTAGCCCTGAGTCTCAAGATTCAGACTCTAAAAGTTTCCCTACTGTTTTTTTTTGAGGGATGAATGTTTGAGGCCTGATGTCTGGGTTTAAGTTCAAGCCATAAAACAATTATCCTATAGCTGTGAAAAGAGGGGAACAACTTCACAAACTCAGGCAAGGTTGATTCAGGCTTTTGTATTTTGTGAACATGGATGTATTTTTTTGTTTCAATGAGTCAGATTCTCTGCATGAAAGCAATAAAAACAGTGTTGGTTTACCTTGTTTCATGATTGGGCTCAGAGTTGTTGTTCAGTACTGGTATTTATATGCTTTCATTAAAAGGGTTACAAGCACAGGCTAAAAAAAGCCTGGTATTTTGGTCCCTCTTGTGGATGCTTGCATGTCAACTTCATCTGTAGACAAGTCGAACCTTCAGTTTTTAAATCCTGATTGCATCTCCCTTTGACTGGTTGTTTTGGCAGGCAAATAACATAAGTTATTGTTGAAGCTGTAAAATTACATTCATAACTTCACAGATTCATTAATTAGATCATTTTGTCATAGTACCTCTGAAAGCTAGGAATAACTGGCTCATAGTTTATGCATTAATTTGGACACTCAGAAGATTTTCCACATGTTTTAGATGCAGAGAAGGAGGAGGAACTTCACAAGTAGGAGAGGTACCTGGTATGTGTCACATTTTAAAAATGCTGATCAGACTCTTGCTGCAATTAAAGGCCTGCAAAATTTTCAGCCTCCAGACACCTCAAATAGATTTTATAAAGAAAAAATATTATACACTAATAAATCTTTGTTGTTGTCATTTGAACTTTTTTTCCCAGTTGTTATTCACTCAGTGTATGCTCTTGCATAGCATGGACAGAAAGTTACCAGGTAAAATACTAGTGCAAATGGCAAAATTTTTGCTATAAGAGAAATAGCAGTGCCTTTTTTTTTTTTTTTTAGCTTGTAGAACTGTTCTTTGTACAGTGCTATTAAAGTGATATTTTATAAGTAAGAGAGAAAAATGCATTCTACCCTCAAAGACTTCTTTCTTGAAAAAGCTGCCCCAGCTACTATCAGCTGGTGCGGTTCCACCACATAAAGCACATACATTCCAGTATAGACTCTAGCATCAATGTTTTCTTCATTATTCGACATTGATATTTTGTCACCTGCAGAATTAAAAGTATTTTTTGTACCTGAAGGTTATGACTGTAGAATGTTATTATGCTTTTTTATATGTATTAAATGAGACATAAAAGTGAAGCAGGTAATGTGGAAAATGTTGGAGTTTTTTCTTACCACAAACATTTTAGGGTCAGAGAGTAACAAATGGATTTTGTTAACTTCTCAGCTTATGTAAGTGTGCAAATTAATTTCTTCCAAATGCTTGCTACCGTAGTTGGCATTATTCACCATCACTTCTGCCAGCAGTGGGTTTGGAGTTTGATTCACGAAGAGAATGGAAGGAACAGCTTATTTCAGGAAAAAAGTAGATTCGGGCTAGAATGTGCAGAATCTTCTAAGGTTCACACATACCTTGTAACTCAGATCTTCAGGGATGCTTAGTGGCAGTGATTCCAGTGGAAGTCAGTGGAATATAGGAGTAGCCAATAGCTATGCAAAGTCAGGCCTTTGGCCATTAGCTTTCATACTGTGCTGGGTTTTAGGATCAGAAGTCTCTCTTTCTTTGTAAAGTAGTGTGTTTCTATTGAAACACAAGAGGAGAATTCTGTCATGGAATGGAAATGGGTATTCCCAGGTGTGTGGACTTTGCACGTGTAATTTCCCCAAACAGTTCTTTAAAAAGTACTTTAAGCCAAGCCACACTTCAGCAATAAGCATAGATCAGCGATGGGCAGCCACAAATGGTTCAGATAAGCAGCCAAAAGTTCAAATGCTTAAAGAAAGCTTGTTCAAACCTCTTGAGTCGGCAAAACTGTGGTGGAAATCTCACAAGAACAGACCTTCTTTGTGAGATTTATTACATGCCTACTTCAAGTCCCAGCTGGAAATACCACAGAACAGTCTTCCCCATTGTATTTTGACATTTCAGCCATGGCTAGAAATAAGAGGTAAAAGAACTTATCATAACTTTTGAGAACATTGGAACTTTGAAATGGTTGAGTTCAAACTTGGTTACAGCTGTAAGAGAAGGCCTGGCCTGTGCTGTTGCACACGCAGCAAGTAGAGATTTCCAGAGGCCTGTCAGAGTTTGGTTAGGCACATGCTTTCTCTTTCAGCAAGGGATGTATCAAACTTCCATGTCCGGATTTATGTGATTCATGAAGCATTACAATATAGCCTTGGTTAATTAGCGAAACATCAAGAAAAAGCACAGTAACATAAAAATTACAATTGTCCCTGCTGCCAACAGATGTTAAGTTTCAGAATTTGATAACTGATATATATTTGTGAACAATTTGACAAGGGTATTCTTCAACACAGGGAGAGAGAGAGATGTTACATCTGAGTTTTAAGAAAAGGACAGGATCTAATTTAGGATTGGTGGAAAGATTTGGGATTTTCTTGTTTTACTGAAATGTTGCAAAGTTTTAATTGATGCAAAATCATGTTAGTTGCCTTAATTTCCATTAATAATTTCTGTGGTTCTGAATTGGAACATTATTTCAGTAAATTTCCCTAAATGTAACTTCTGCAATACAACATATGTGCACTTAACCTACAGAGTACATACAGAGTTGTATGTAGTTGTGTCTGCTTCCCAGGCTGGGCTGTATGTAGCTTTACTCCGTAGATAACACTTGGCTGCCTTCTCACCATGTGCTCCTGTCGTCTTCTCCCACAACATGTATTTATGTATTTTATGGCCCACCTGTTTCCCTCTGTGGCATTGACCTTGGATTCAGTTTCTGCACATATTGATTCTTCGTACACATAATTAATCCTAAGTAATTAAAAAACCCTCCGTGATCCTAAAACAATATAGTTCTTGATTTATTTTGATAAACAGGTATTAGAGTCCATTGTATGTATGTTATACACATACTTCTAACTGCAAAGCTTATGAGTTGTGTGGCTGCTGTGTGCACACTGGTGGAATGTGTGAAGGAAGGAAGGAAGAAAGCAATTCATTCTTAAGAAACAAACCCTTATTTTCTGAAAAGTATATGCTCTGTTACTTGTCTTTGAAGTAGATCTGAACACCATACTCTGATATCCCCCAGTCTCAATCTTGAGAGAAGCAGAAATTTTTACTCACTTAACCCCTTTTGATTATAGAGACTCAGGGCAAACTTTTGTGATATTTTTAAATGGGTTTGTAGAAAGTTGGCTTCCTGTCTCATAGTTCTTTTAAGATGTCGTACTGTGTTAAAACGGCAGAGTTCCACCAAACTGCATCCATTAATCAGTAGAGTAAAGCTGGTGAACCTTACTGAACTTAGCAACAAAATTGGATTGATGGGAGCAGATGAGATTCTTGCAAACATTTCACATGACTGATTCTTTGACAGCTCTAATTGCTGGAAAGTTTACTTCTCCTGTGGGTCAGAAGCGGGAAACTGCATTCTCCTGATTTACAGCAATGGGAGACCCTCCAGTGTTTCCTTCCAGCTAAGTGGAGCATTCCCCTCTTACATTTTTGTTTATTCCTCATTGCCATCTCCTCTGTTCATTTGTTTCTCATTTTATGTTTAGAGCATACTTAGAAAAGAAGCCAAAATACAAACAATTCTTAGATGTTAATGAGATTCTGAGGCCAAAATAAAATCTTGGGAAGAAAGAAAAAATGCTGCACATCAGGGAACAAAATCAAAACAGATCAAATGCGTGCTCTGGATTTCACTCTTCATTAAAAGGAGTAACAGCGATGCTTCTTTAATATCTTCCATTAGAGAACTGTAGTATGCTTCGTAAAAATCAACACTTTATTCCTCACAATCCTAAAACATTATCTAACAGGTACAAGTGGGTTTGTTGATCAATCAAGCGTGGAACCACCAATGAATATTGTAGCTCACACTCTTTTTTCACTGTTTTCTATTTAAATCTGGATAGCTCACGTAAAGTCTGGATCCTGGAAAAAAACAAAGCAAAAAAAGACCACCATGGAGCTTGTGCAGGTGTTTCATTATTTTTGATTATCACTGTTTATTTGTTATTAGTATAAAATGAAAACAAGATAAAATACCCCTTTCCATTGATTTCATGTGGGAATCATATGGAAATAGAAGTCTTATGTTCTTCATGTATAAATACGTATCTGACTTCATGATTTGCAATGAAACATATAGCCAGGAGAGTTTTGAAGGAGACCTTGATAGAAGGGTGGCCAAGACCTGCAGAGATTTCTTTTTTTCTTTTCCAGAGCTGATCTTTGCTACAATTCAGCTGCTTTAGATGAAAATCGGCATATAAAAGTCTGCATGGCAGGGAGGAGCCTTACCAGATAGGGCCCACGCTATCCTAGTTAGGTCAGCAGGACAGGCTCATAGGTGGCAGGCAGGGGCAAACGAGAATCCAGATTATCAGCTGGCAAGATCGTGGTGATGAGGCAGGTCCAAGGTCAAGCTGGGAAATCAATCCACAGCTCAGGTCCAGTGGCAGTAACCAGGGTTGGACACAGCCTGGGACAGCTCCATGGTAATGACGGAGGGTCAAGGTCAAGCTGGGATGTGAGTCCAGGGGTGAGGGATCAATGAGACCCATGCCCAGGCTGTGGCACATGTCTGATAAAGCTCAGGCAGGAACTGATTGACCAGTGCTGAGCTTAAATGGAGACCCTGGGCCACGGGCAGGAATGTGGGTCAGGGCCAGTAAGGTACACTCAGGCTCTGAGAAGTCCTTACAGCTCTCAGGGCAAGTGATATTTATTGTATGAGCCAGAGTAGTGAAGAAGTCTGTCCCCTAATGTTCATTACTTCAGAGAGCATTAGTAATATCTAACTACTAACAGTGTCACCAACTACATACAAAGAAAGTAACAGTGCGTATGTAGAAGCAATCATGATCCAGCTGAAGCGTCCAAAAATTCTAAGACCATATTTCAAAACTTTTGTTACCTTGGAAGGATACCATGGATCTGCTAGGCTCAGTACAGGGACGGTTTGACTTCTGATCCAGCACGTACTGTGTGCATAGATGCACTCTAAAGGGAAATAATTTAAATACAGATAACAGAAAGTGTTTTGGCAATACATAAGGATATTTCTGACTACCTCCCTCTTTTTTTTTTTTTCCTACTTTTTAGTTTTTTTAAGAAATCAAGGCTGCTCTCAACAGTTTTATGTCCTTTGAAAATCTTCCCCCAGTCTTGGAACTGCGGCAGAAGTCAGCTTCTCAAGTACAATTCTTAGTTTATTATTGGGAAAACAAAGGTTACATAATCCTTCTAAAATCCCTTCTGAAAGGTATTTTCTCCAAGTAGGTCAAATAATGTTAAAGAGTTTCATAAATGTATTTCAAACATAGACCTTCATTTTTATTTTTTGCAGTAGTGTAACATCGGGAGGATGTTTCATAAAAAAACTTTACTGTCTTGTGGGGAATAATTAAGATGATCCAAGTTAAAGTGTGGAAGACAGAAATCCTGCACAAATGGGGATGTTTACAGTAACTCAATTGGTTGTTATTTAAAGGTTTCATTAAGACTAGCAAGGATGCTGAGACCTGGGTGAAAGGGCTCTGGTAGATTTCCCACTTCCTCTTTCTTGGGGTCTGTCACCGCAGCCGAGGGTAATGAGCAGGGCTGGCACAGCAGTGCAAGGGAACTGGCACTGTTAAAGGGGTTTTCTGCTCTACCATGCCCTGCGGCTGTGATAAAAATTCAGAATTCCACTTGCTGGCTTCCAAGTTTGCAGGAACTAGCCTTATTTTTCTGGACTGCTGTTACATTTGTTTCCTGACAACTATCAGAGCACTGGATTGGGAGGGGTGTGTGTGCTTATTTTTAGTTTTTAATAGGAATGGAAAGCTTCTGAAACTGAACTCGTGAGGGAAGGACCTCAGGAAGAGGAGAAATGGCAGACTCCTTAAAACTAGGGAGGGTGTTCCACCGACTAAGGTTTCTGAGGAATTTCTGCCAATTAAAACACGACAGTGAAACAAAATATCTTTAATAATAGGACCAGAACAGAGAAGTGGCAGCTTGTGAAAGTTCCTCATGTCATACAATGTTAGGCTGTGGCAGTTACTATGTATTAATGCAACAAATCAATGGCACAAAATTGAAGGTAGTGGGTGTGTCAACTGTGAAAACCAAAGGGAGAGGATTCATTATCCAAACACTCCCTACTCACTGCCTTGGGCTTTGGAAATCATGGCTTTCACAGGGAAGGTTTTTACTGAAAGGAAGAAAAACCATGAAAACCCAAATACTTAATGCAGAAACATTCAGGTTTAAGTTTGCTTTCTAAATCCTTTGAGGGTAGTTAATCTGTAGTAAAATCTTGCAGCAGAGGGTGGGACAACCCTATACCTTCCCATTTGGTATTTCCTTTGTTATTTGATATGTAAGCCTAGTTCATGCATAATCATTTAAAACATAAGACTATGGAGATTTTCTGGATGACTTTGTAGACTAAACTGGTTCCCAGCTCTGGTTTGCAAAGCAGAAAAGCAAATTAGATTGTCAAATGAAAATTACTTAGAAATAAGAAAAGTATTTGCAGAGTATGTGCATAGTTCTCTATGCATAATATAATTGAGCATACATGCCGAGGATAAAATATGAACAGCCACAAAATTTATTTCTGTACAGTGGGTTTGAAAATGAGCCATTTTATGGGGCTCAGTTAAACAGTCAGTTTACCTGGGAGTGGACTGTTTGAAATGGGTTTAGTTGAGCTTTAGTTTACATAAACAAGAAAATGTTCACTACTAGCACAATTTACATCATTCTTGTATTTTCAAGATTTTGCCAGTTTACTTTGAAAAGACCTCCTTAGCCATCAAATCTGGTTTGCTGAGGAGGTAAGTATATTTTACATATCTGTGTGAAAGTGGAAAATTTTGTTGTGTACCACCAACAAAAAAAGATTCGTTATGTTACTTTAAGGCATCATTTAAGAGAAGCTTAATTAATCAATCTTGCAGATGGAGGAATAAACCATTCCAAACTATGAGCAATTGTTTCATATTCATGTGGAGTACATAAGCATCTCTTTGAATTCTGAATTTCTAGTTATTCCAAAATTGTATTTTGTTAAAAAATAAATGACCTGTACAAAGGTGAATAATTTTTTTAGTTTTCTAGGGATTCCATTTCAGTAAAGTTTTGCCCTTGAACATCTTGTGAAATAAACAAACTTGCTGATAGGAAAAATGTTTTTCTATACTGTATCTGTGGAATAAATGTGATGTGAGTATGTTTCACACAGATAACTGGTATTCTTCAGTGTGAGTGAGTAAAGAGTAGTTTACAACCAACTGTACATTCAGTCAGCAGTCTCTTTCTTGAGAAGATAAATGACTGTATTGGTCAATCCCGTTACTAATAGTGGTGCTGTCATGGCATCTGCTATTTCATGGTTGAACTACTGGATGTGAACCCTTATATTATTACCAGTGGGAGCCAGCCAAATCAACCTAGTGGTCAACTCTGTGTCTCGTTACCAGTTCTTTGAATCATTCTTACTTTTATTCAATAAAAATCTAAAAAACCCATTCCAGTACAGAGTTACATTCATTCACAAGGAATGTACTATTCGTTGTGGAAGTAATACACAGTTTCTCCTAACTAATTACATTGTATGTTAAAAATAAAATCTGAAATGTCAATCAAATGCATCTTTTTCTCCCATATACTACATACTTACTTGTGGTTTTCTTTGCATGTGTAATATAATTGCTTGGGATTGTTTAAATTCAATTATATACAGACCTTTCAGCAAGCTACACATGGGTTTTTCTTTATTTTAACGGTCTAGACATGAAATGCCAAATGTATTTTAAAAGAAAAAGAAAGGGAAGATTAAGAAAGAATTAAGCAACAAAAAACCAGTGTAACACAAGAATTTATTATTTCCCTGGCATGCTTCTGTTTTTTAAATGTAAATAGTTTGATGCTGCTCAGAGCAGTGGAATATCGGAGACTTTCCACTGAAGCAGATGAATGACCAAACTGTAAGGGCATAAATGGAATTTATCCTGTATGATTTATGGATGACATGCATACTGTCTTCAAATATGTAACAGGAGAATCTGCATATCACTATTTATTAAGAGTTTTCAGAATTTGTCAGTGAAAAGTTGAGAATGGTGAAGGTTAGTTACTGGGAAGTCATATCATTAGAAAGCAACATTGAATTTATATAAAATTCTACGGCCACCTCTTCTGCTAAAACTAATTAACAACTTACAATTAAAACACATTGGGCAATAATTAGTGGTAGTTACAGTTACTTGCTGAGGAGTTACCTGAACCTTTTGAAACTACCTGTCAAAAAAATCTTGTATTTTTCTACTTTATTGGGCTCTCATACTCTGTCACCTCATTATATAGGAAAGTTCCAGGATGTGCTATGCAGTCATTTTACTGCCAATGCCACAGCCCTCAGAATCTTCCTAGCCTCATCCTTTCAACAGGTGTAAGAGTTCACCTGGCTGACAGCTTGAATGGTTGGAGGAGAAACTCATAGAAGAATTCAAAGGCTGAAATAAGACTGCTGTCTGAAAAGCTGCTTATTGAAATTATCCTTTCTCAGATCTATTAACTGGTATGCAAAAAGATGAATAAAATGAAAACTGAAAGAATTTTCAGACAGGAAGAAGGAAGGAAAAGTCAGAAAGCTAATAAAAAGCTATAAAAATATATTTATTTCTTCCCTAATCCTTCAATTTGTTCATTTGTAACTGTAAAGGACAGGTACTACTTGTGTATCAGAAGTATGAAACTGTAAGATGATTTTGCTACAGCTGAATTACAAGTAATAATAATTGACTTGCATAAATTCATTTACATTCCGTGATTGTTGCTTCTCCTCATTTCATTGTGCGGTCTGCAGGACAGACTAGTGAACGTGTTCTGTCTTTCACTCCCCAGTGTTCTGCAGAATGTGGTGACGGAGTCCGTACGCGTTCAGTGGTTTGTATGACAAACCACGTCAGCAGTTTGCCTCTGGAAGGCTGTGGCAATAACAGACCCTCTGACACAACTCCCTGTACTAATGGGCCCTGTGCTGGTAAAGCGGAGTGGTTTGCTGGAGGCTGGACACAGGTAAGCTCTGTATCTAACATATGTATTTGTTTTCTGCTGGTATTTTATTTAAAAAAAAAAAAAAGTATTTTTGTGCAATGAAGATGTGTGCCATAAGGTATTTCTCCATGTCTGTGGAATATTCGGATTTTTTTCTTTCTGTATTTCGCTGAATTGATGTTCAGTACTTTTCAGCACCTGCTGTTTTTTTACTTCGATGAAAATAACATTTTATTCTTCTCTTCCTCTGTACCTTCACTTTTATTTCTCATCTACTGACCCAGTGTATTTATAAAATGAAAGATAACAGAAAGCTGCTTAGCATATTCAGGTGAATGCTAAAGCAACAGATTGGAACCTCGTAAAGTAGAGCCTTTGTGATCATGCACACCTGCAGGGATATATATCTCTACAGGGAATTTCCAAAAGATAAATAAGACAAAAATCAATGGCTAAACCCAAAAGTTAGCTTTAGTATTGTGCTGAAATTCGTGATGCTAAGTGAAAAGAACAAAATTTGGTTAGTGGCCTGTATCCTGATGCTCTTTGCTCAAGGTAAATTCTTCCATGGATCCACATCTCAGTAGTCCTTCTTGTTCTAAATAAACATTTCTGCTGTCAGGAACAAAGGCATTTCAGAAGCTGTCAGCTGGTGCCCAGACATTTGCATCCCTTTGCATAGGCTCTCATACAGCCTAGAGAGCCTTTTGGCCTGCTGGTACCAGCACTTCATCGAGTTGTTACAGAAAAGTCTCTTGGCTGTGCTGTCAAATCACTGCGTTTCAGATTCCAAGATCCTTCCAGGTGATAAGGAGTTGGAAATTAAACTGGTACAGCTGAGATGGAGATTATAGGGCTACTATTATGCTAATGCTTTCATGTGTAAGTGATAATTCTTTGTATTGTATAAGAGTAATAACGAATTCAGATTTAAAACATACTTAGCTGCAGTTCTGATGACAGGTAAAATCTGGGCCTTCTTACTTACACCACTCCATGCAGGTGAATAGTAATTTGGTATCCATTCTTGCTACCACAGAGATGCATTCAGCAGGGCCATCCTAACTCTCCCCATTCTGTTCTGAATAAGAAAGTTTCTGTCCTTTACAATTTCATGTTCTTTTAAGCTATTTCACCTTCTTTCTTTACATGGTTATCTGAAAGAAGTGTCTGACGTTTATTCTTCTGGCCAAATCCCGACTTCTAAACACCAAAATGAAAGCAGACAGTCAGCAGACCAGAGCAAGAGGGAGCACTGGCGGATGACCTTCCATATTATGCTCCAGTAGAGCTAAGGCTGAATGTTAAGACACTGTCTTTTGGAGAGCAGTGACAGAGATGTTCAGTATTAAAGAACGTGCAGTTATGTTATTTCCTGTCGAATTTATTTGGGTGCATTAATCTCAAGGTTCTTCATTCAATTAAAGTTTTTTTGTGGGTATCTGGTAAAGGGATCATAAATTCCACCCAAAATATAAACAAAATCCCCACTTTTAATAACATTCAATTGGTTTAGGCTAGAAAAAGCCTTTGAAAAGCATAGTTCTTTATGCAACATAGAAACCAATATGTTGCTGGAATTATCTTCTAAAAACCTTTTTACAAGTGCCAGGAACAGTATTGTGTGTGTATTTAACCTTTCAATGGGCAGTAAGAGTCCATGTGAGTCAAATTTGCTTTTCAGAACTGGAACCAACACTGCATCACATAGATACTTGCAAACATAAAAAGAACACCCTGTCAGATCAAGGCATTTTCTAAAAACCACACAGAATGTGGTGATTTGTAAAGCTGCAAAACTGTGCTCTAACCTTATAACCCTCAAAGTTTCAGTGCAGTGCATACAATCCTGCTTCAACAAGAAGCAATAACACTGTTTATGGAGAAAGTAAGTTATGCTTTTCTTTTTATTATAAGAATAAATACCAGTTTCTTTCTGTAGCTACAGGTAAAACTACACTTCTAGTTTTCTCCAAAAGCACACTTTTAGTCATATGTCGTCTTCTTCATAAAAATAATTAGAAATGTGTTTTGAATCTGTGGTACCATGTGGAACAAAAAATCACGGAAGTCCAGTTTTAACTGCTGTAACCATTTTTAAGATTAAAAATTAAATATGTAATACCTGACACTTACAAGCAGTAGTCACTTGATGAATTAAATCATTACTGTATCCTTCAGCATTTTCTTGTCCCTGTGATTGCTGGCTACTACGTTAGTACTATATACAAATAGTAATACTAATAACCCAAGGTTTTTCTAGGCTATTATTATGGTTCTGAGAGATAAAAACTCTATTGCAGGAAATTAAGGAATACTTTACCCTTTTCCTTTCTTTTCAAGTCATACATATGCCAGTGGTGGAAGGAAAGATATAATTAAGTTCATTACAGAGGAAAGGCATATGAAAGTAAGGAAGTGAATTTGGATGTCAGTGTCTAGGTATGTGTCCAGGAATAGGAAATAAGCAAAACTTTACAAATTTTCCTGTTTGAATAGTAATTTAAAATACAAGTATATGTGTGTGTATGTGTGTGTTGTTTTATTTCAGAAACAAATAACGTGGAGAAACATGTTACTTTGGAAACAAGTTGAAGGACATAAGTAGAATAACAAATGCCACCACTTCTTTTTGTTCTCTGATACAGTGCTCTACTGAATGTGGCAGTGGAACTCAACAGAGAGAAGTCATTTGTGTTAGGAAAACTGAAGGTAATTTTGACGTTTTGAACCCCTATGAATGTTCATATTTGGAAAAACCTCCCAGCCAGCAATCCTGCTACCTCAAACCCTGTGGATCTAAGTGGTTTCATACAGAGTGGAGCACAGTAAGTCTATCATGCTTTTCTATATCTAGTTTTGTTTGATACACCTTTTTCCATGTGTATTGAAAGGGAACACCATTTGGATAAAACTATTGATCATGAAATTGACTTAATCTTGCACAGGAATGATACCAAAAAGAAAACATACTCTTTAGTATCCAGCAGAGCTGAGGAGAGTTAGGAAGTATCTTGACCAGAAGGAGACACTGCATAGTTGTCTTTTCATCACAGATCTCTTCCAAGAACCTTGCTCTTCTGTAGAGTTGGTTTGCCCCTTAATGACACTGTGTAGTGCAGCAAGAAGTTCTTTTCAGACCTCTCATTTCATTAAAATTAAGGAGCATTTAATAAAGAATGAGGGATGTATTGAGTTTTTAAAGTCAGTTTTACAGTAATATTTTACTGTGAGAAAACCTACTGTAGAGCTTCATGTATCTTCAGTTTCCCCTGGAAGTAGACCAGCTACATTCACTGGTGCAACAGAATGGTTTGATTTCATCTGTCTTTCCATCATTTCCTATACTTGACAAAGCTTATTGGATTTTTCTCCTAAATGAAAATCAGAAAGTCCATTGTCATCTTAGAATAAAAAACGATGTGAAAACTACTTCGATGACATCATATCTAATGCAGTAACTTACACCCTTCCTTGAGGCTTAAATCAAACTCAGAATGACAGCTCTGAAATGTGGAAGCACCTCGGATACCTTCAGTTTGAGTTCCCTTAGTCAGGAACCTTTGGAAACACCTCATCTGCATGACACGAGATAGAGAAATTATTTTGGTTTTCCCTTTTACTAAATGCTCAATTATTTGACTGGCCTACTGACAGCACTAGAAAGCAGAAAAGAAGGTAGAATGGTTTTAACAAAATAAATCTGAAGGGAATCCTGATTTTTCTTCCTTAATTGCAGGTGTAGATGTTTATTTGAAAACAGCATCCAAGTTAGGCTCAGAGTAAAGCCATGTAGATCAAAGTATGTTCTTTGATGTTGCTAGAAATTCTTTGGATTCTTTACTGAGCTGTTAGTTTAGATTAAATAACTTCCCCTTAGCAAACCCATTAGCAAACCCATTTTCAAATGTGAACCTGCAGGTGTGTAGCCACAAGAGATACAGCCGTCTGCATCCATAGAATGCAGCAGATGCATTCCTTCTGGAAGTGAAAATATATGCTCTCTTTGGCAGGCACAGAAAAAAAAGGTGCTAAGACTTAGAATCTGATAGGTATTTAGAGATCCCCAGGTACTGTTTAAGTGCCCATTTCCTAAGAAGTGGTGTCTAAAAATCCTTAAAGGTCTAAGCCTTTGTGACCATCTTCACTGTAGGAACAAATACATATGCTAGCTGAGGGTTTACAGCATAATATTCTAAGCCTTTTTCAATTCTCCTTCTGATACTGTTACTGTTATCAACAGAGTATGTGGTATTTCTTACTGTTAGACCTGAAGAGAAAGGATTATGGGGTTAGCTGTGAGCAGAATAGCTGGTTCATAGCCCCTGCACTAGGTTTTGAAACTGTCCAGTTCGTATCTTCAGCAGACTTTTTATAGGTCCTATAGACCTAGGATAAATGGTGCGGCCTCTCAGTCACGGAGGTGAAATGGTTAGCTACTGCAGAGTGCTGGGGTTTGCGTATAGTGTGTTGTATGCAACATCTGTGTTCTGTCTAGGTTGCATTTTAAGTGCTTAAGATCTCTGCAACCCTGAACTGAAGTTCTTATTGCTGGATGTGGGATAATTACAATATTCTATGCAGGCATATAACGAGTAATTATATAAAAAAACCCGCATGTGTTCTATTACTCTCACCACAGTCTCTTCTAAAGTGGGGAAAGGTTGTACTAAAAGATGAAAGAGCAATTTAAGACTATATTATAGAGACTGTTTTAGTTAGTTTGCTACAATATCTGGTTTTATGATAGTGATGTTGGTTTTGCAATGTGAAGAAAAGAAGTAATTATGCCAAAAAAGTCAGAAAGAAAACATTCTTACTAGTTTGGGGCTATTAAGGGTTTAATCATAAATGACCCAGGTTTAATTAAGTTTATGAGCATTTAGGTCAAACTGGACAGTGAGCCAAATCTCGAAGACCTCACTCAGGCGAAATTTTTGAAGTCAACAGGGGATTTGCTTTAGTACGGGCAGAAATGTGTAATAATTGGCTTTAAAAATACCATGACAAGCAAGTACAAAAGTCTCTGGCTTCAAAACAGACTTTGAAGGAGCACAGAAATACTTGCTTTAGAAATTCAAGAAACCTATAATGCTTAGTATAGTTGTTGTGCTGCAAGAAGTGAAAAATAATTGAGTACTAGAAAAAAGACAATTAAAATTATTCCTGATTGTATATCAATGGAGGTAAAAGGGCAGTGGAAAGCAGCGCAGTCAAGAAGTAAAGTTCAGTGCAGGAATTTCTTAAAGTAAGATATGTGAACGCTGTGGAAA